CTTATTGCCTGCAGACCATATTACAAATCCTGTTTCATATTAGCCCATGGTTTGGCTCACTGGAGTTCAACTTTTCTACTTGAACTCTGGGTGAGCATAGTAGTATTATGTAGCCTATATTTTGTATACTAATGCAGAACTTTTCTAGCTCTCAAGTTTGTATCTGCTCTCAATTCACCTGCTCTCAACCTGGCCACTGTGCAACATTTATACATGTGCTTGTTAAGTGGACTACAGCTATAAAAGGGTGGTTGCAGCAATTGAAGCTTCCTCTAGCCTGCACTGGATCTTACACTCAACAAGAGTGAAGATGCAGTTTTCTCTGGCAGACCCCACCCTCTTCCCATAACCATCTTAATAGAATTGCAGAACTTATAAGCGGTCTCCTAGCAGCCTCTCAAGTTCTCCACAGCTGTCAACACAGCACACTGTATCAGCCCTGGGGCTGATATCACTACTTTGCCACTCATGCTGCCCATGTTAATAATGCATTTTATTGACCACAATTTTCTGAGATGGTGAACTCGTGGTTTTGGCCAGTGACCTCCTTCAAGAAAACAGATACCAAAACTTCAGCACATCAGAAATTCAGCCACTTATAGATAAACGAAAAATGTAGTGAGCCATTTGGCTACCTTTCCACATGTTTGCCTCTCCTAGGCTAGGTGCCGGCCAGGCAGCCATTTCACAGTGGGGATGCCAAGTCAGTCCAAGTAATCCTGATGACTGTGTCAATGAATCTGAAAGGTTCGTGATGTTCCAGCGACTAAGATCAAGTGATAATATCTGCTTGTCATTTCTTATCCATCTTATCTTATCTGTCAGTTTTGGCTTCTTTGTTGGTCAATTTGTACCCTCTAAGCACTTAGGCTATACTGTTACTTGTTACATACATCAACTATAGTTACAGTAATATATGTTTACATATTTGACTATAGTTATCGGGATGCACAAACTGCCAGTTTACCATAGTCCATGTACATAACAGCCAGCATCAAGTGTCGTTTCAAGGTTGTATCATTCAAATTCTAATCAGTTAGGACCTTGATAGTGGCCCAGATGATAACGATGTCGAGCTAAATTCAGACAGGCATGGCAACAACGGAGGATCTTCAAGATAAAAACCCAGTCACTATTAGGGAGACTGGTGAATTCTTAGCACTCAACTTCCAAGAAACATGCCTTTATGTATAGGAATGCTGTACAGCTCCGCCAGAGTCGCGAATTTTAAGAGGTTGAAGTCTTCAGCTCTGGAGGCACGTGGGCCGTCTGAAGTTTGTACTTCATAGTTAGAAAGATGCGTCACCAGGAAATGTTGTGGCGTTGAACTTGGTCAACGATGCAACGAGCTACTGATACATATCTTTACAAGTTAGTGGTACAGAGACGTAAAGTATGCACAGCAGGGGTGATTATACATCAAACACAGTAAAGTGTATCGTAAAGCTACAGATACCAGTATTGATAATACAGGACGATAGGACGAGGATCAGTAAAAGAGCGTGGAGGATTGCCAATTGAAATCATTCAACAGGGGTCAATCAGACAAGGAAGATATAGTGAGCGAGGATCAATCAATGGAAACTGGGAACAGAAACGGGACTGCAATAACCCACAGAACGGGGAGTTACAGGAGCGGTGACGGGCATAGACATAGAGGCATGGATAACTCGAGCATCAAGCTGAGATGAATGGAACAGGACTGGAGGAGATTATCAATATTCCATTGGTGAATTTTCAAAACAAATGACGTGCCATCTACAAGCAATTATAATGGCAGATCCGCTTATCGAGCGACAGGTCTGGGTTCTCTGATTGGACCTTTTTGGAAGCCTCCAATCAGCATGTTTTGAATGCACGAAGGTAAGACGGGTTATACCTCAGCTCTGGCCACAACGTCGAGGGGAGGGGGAATAGGCGCTGCTACGGCACAAGCGGACACTATCCCACACGTTAGATGGTCAGATAATTATCAAATCCCTTTATACTAACAGAACAGGGCGAACGTTGAAAGTACCAATGTCAAGCGCATTTTCAGGGTAGGCCCCAAGGGGGAGGAGTGGATTTCGGTTAGATGTAAACGGTGGTTGGTAGACAGTCAAACGCAGGATTCTGGGTGTAGAGAGAAAAGGTTGAGCAACAAAGCCTTAATGTAGTCCAGCTACAAGGTACAAGAGACAAGGGAGGTTCCAAAAGAGGTATGTTCTCAGTGTTTAGGTGAAGTCTCGGCAATCGCCCAGAAGGCACTGGGCATCTGAGGGCGTCGGCGATGCTGTCATCAGCAAAGTATTTTTGTCGCTGTTATAACTTGACAGAGTTCTTTGTATTTGGAAGGCGCGGCCAGGAGAACAACGGGACAGCCTGATTGGGATGATGGAAACGTTCAAACCCCTTCTTCTCAATCAAGTCGTTCCTTTGTTCAGACACGACGGCAATATGGACTTGAGGGTGCAAATCTAGACAGACTATGGTAGTCTGTGAACTCCTGTTACTTCAAGTCAACGAAAAAGTAGTTGTCTGCATCCCTAATGCTGTGGTAGTAAGAATTGAAGGCTGTTGACCTGGAATACAAGATTCCGGGCCGGTCAACTGATGCTTGGACCTGTTAGAGCCTATTAGGACTCAAAGCCAATGGCTTGCCGAACTGGTGCGTCATGGTCAAAACTTTCTGTCGGCATTGATGTGGGAGCCATCGTCAAAGCTCGATGGGCTTGACTTTTCTTTGCGACTGCGACCATTTCATAGCCCTCCTATGTCGGTAATCCAGCGAATATTCTTACGTGGACCGCACCCGACCTTCCGGCACTATTTATCCAGTCAGGCTGTAAATAAATCACATCCGACGCGTCTTCAGAAATATGTCCGACGGACAGCCTACACTGTAGCTGGCCTTGGCACTGTATGGACCGTGGATAGAACGTATAATGCCTCTGCAGTTTTTCGAAATATTAGGACGTTGTGGACCGTGAGTCGCAGTATTTCACATAGTGGATCCGTCTACTAACGCGGGCGTTTCGAAGTGTGCTGCGATAACCCTAGATTATAAATTAAATTTCACTCCCGGGAAGAGTGACCTAATACCAGAGCTCCATGAACGTGTAGCGGAGAGGATGTATAACCTGTTCACTTCTAATGGAGGCCTATATATCAAGATTGGGTGCGTAACATTTTTTCAATCTGTTCACTGCCTTGTAAAAAACTCCTCGGCAGGCAAGCAATAGGAGCAAATGCTGCCTTCCTTCCAAAACCTATGCAACTAAAATTTGCCAAGCTCTTTGACGATGCTCCCCAAATTCCCTACTCCGTCGTTGACAAGGTCTTCCGATCCGAACTCGGACGCCCACCTTGTGGTCCAGACGGAATATTCGAAGTATTCGAAGAGCAAGCTGTAGCCAGTGCAAGTATAGCCCAAGTCCACCGAGCAAAGCTTTGGCCCCGGCCTGGAGACACAGAAGAAAAATGGGTCGCAGTCAAAGTCCAGAAACCCGACGTTGCGACGCAGATGGAATGGGACTTGGGAGCATACCGTGCGGTGATGTGGATGTTCGAGCACTGGGCATTTGATCTACCCGTCTACTTTGTCGTTGGTGAGTGTTCTTGCATTGAAATCTGCATCCACCGCTCATTTGTCTTCAGATTTCATTTCTGATCACCTCAGGCAAGAGCTCGACTTTGTCAACGAAGCTAACAATGCACGCAGGACGGCCGAGTTTGTCGCGAGTGAACCGCTCCTTTCCGAGAGCGTATACATTCCAAATGTCTATCCTGAATTTTCAACCAAGAAGGTGATGACCGCTGAATGGATCGAAGGCGTCCGACTCAGCGACCGTCCTGGCATTCGCGCCCTGATGGGTGAGCCTAACCCCCTCGACTCACCATCTTCGCTGCCGTCCTCCATGCCGACGAAACCGCTGAAGGGTGGCGCTAAGGCCATCATGCAGGTGATGGTCGAGTTGTTCAGTGCACAGATGTTTGACTGGGGCTGGGTACATTGCGACCCTCATCCCGGAAACGTCATCATCCGCCCTCACCCATCAAAGCCATCCAAACCACAACTCGTCCTTATTGATCATGGACTGTACGTTGCTGTCGAGGATAACTTTAAACGGCAGTGGGTCGAGCTATGGAGGGGTATGTTGGCTAGCGACTTCGAATCCGTGGAGAAGGTGACCAGCCAGTGGGGTATGGGATTGCCAGATCTGGTTGCTAGTGCCACTCTGATGAAGCCGACGAGGCTGAGGAGAGCAGAGACCAGGAAAGGAGAGACGAAGGAAGAAAGTAGGGAGCGGCGAGATCGCGAAGCAGCAAAGCGAGAGGCGATGAAGAACATGTCTCAATACGAAATGAGCGTGATGATGAAAGAGAGGTTGAAGGAATTCTTGACCGACACCGACAGGATGCCGAAAGCACTTATTTTTTTGACGCGAAACATGCGGTTCGTGTATATTCTGGCCCTACTCTTCATCAGCTAATACTGACCATCACCCTTTCTTCAGGATGGTCCAAGGTCAGCTCTTCGCACTGACATCCACGACCGTACACTCACACCGTTTCTGATCTTTAGGAAACAACCAATCTTTTGGCTCGCCAGTGAATCGTATCAAGATTACTGGTTTCTGGGCTTCACGCTCCTTGACACAAGCTCGCAACCTCACTCTCTCACAGACACTACGGGAGTATTGGTACCACCTGATCTTCCGGGGCATAATGTTCTCTCTTGACCTCGTTTTCTGGAAGAACAAGATTACTATATGGATACGGAGGCGTTTGGGTATGAGCCCAGGCGAGGGCTTCGAGGATGAGATGGAACGGACGATGCGTGGCTTTGCAAAGGACAGCTTGGGTGTAGAGGTTGCGCCCACCGCCTTCCAAGGTTGATAAAAGTCAATCCTGGGAAAATATCATAAACGAGCTTCATTGTCAAAATGCATTAAACAAACTAAACTGATACAAAAAAAGTCGGGAGAAGATTACAGCGCAGGCTGTTGTTGGATCAAAATTACACCGAAGGGGAGTCGAACCCCTGCCGCTTGCTGCCGTATTAAATGGAAGGCAAGCATGATAACCGCTTCACCATCGGTGTATTGCTTACCTTAAGGGTAAACAAGAAGTTAATGTCCGGACAAGGCAAACACAAACGAAGGACACAATGGGTCTGACAGATACGTTCCTTGTGTTTCATGAGTAAGTATGTAGGGGTCGAAGACCTGGTATCAGTGTTTTGTGGATTCCATTAGAGTTAAGTTACCACCACCACCGACCTACACCGTATCTGCAATATATATATCAAATGACGGCGGTAAAGGGGACCAAGGAACTGGTTCGTGTTCACCATAGAAGAAACAAGAATAGTAACAGACAGCGCTGAGCGCTGTGTGGCATCCACGGCAAGCCCACTTCCCAAGATTCAGTAACACCCGTGGGCATGATGCGTCAGGCCCCAGGCCCGTCATCGCCCGTAAGTGCACACCACAGTGATATTAGAGGTATCCAAGAGCTATCTCGCAGGATTACAGGAAGTGTGGGCGCCAGGATAGAAGTTTCAGAAGTGTTACACGGTCGATAGCGCACGTTGCCTCTGACAAGTCATGGGACAAGCTGTACGCCTTCTAAGTATCCATATATGTCCTGAGAAGCGATTTTTGCGTATGTCAACGGTGTGTTCTGAGCGACTTCGATGCAGGTGCTGAAGTAACTTTATCCTAATTGGGTGGTGGTAACAAAGTAATTTCTGTTTTCGTGTTGGTAACTTTCGTCGGGGTTTCCACGATAAGCCTGAACATGAATCTATCATGGAATCGATGACGTTAGGGATCCAGATCGGGAGTCTAGGAAGAAGGAAGCAGGACAACAGGCAACACAGCCTAGGAAATATAAAGAGTGCCGTCAGATATCAGTACCTTGCAAGTACAACGAACTTTTGTTGCCAGCTGCGTCGAGTCGCGGTTACGCCTCGTGTAGCAGAGGAAACAAGGACAGGTCCGTACTTCGGCATCCTCCGTGTTGTCAGAACATCAAGGCATGGAGCCAGGAGAACCTATCCAATTGATCGATCTAAAGCCAGCCTTACAACTAGTAAGTACGCTACATATGCACATGCAGACACCAGCTATCATACACCCCACACCAACAGCAACACCATCCACAATAAAATGGAAGGGATGAACAAAGATATAAAGAAAGAAAAAATGAGAAAGACGGATAGTAAAGTCCGGAGTGTAATCATCCAATCCTGCATGCCCATGATGCGTGGCCAGTAGCTCAACCATCCATCCTCTTGAGTAGGTAGACAACAATATTTAACATCGGTTATGCACCCTCCTCTTCGCTGTTGACCTGTTTGAGGGCAGCGTCTGCGCGTTGAAGATCGCGCTCGCTGAGGCTGGAGAAGGCCCCACCACCTGGAGTGCTTGTACCGCTCATGACGGAGCCAGCTCTTGAACGGACTTTCATAACCAGTGGGCTAAGTAAAGAAATAGGTTGGCTGTCTTTCAAAAGAAATGAAAAGGAATAAACGCACAAGGGATACGAGTCTTCCTCGTCATCACCTGAAGGCCACTGGTAACCACGGTAATCACTCGTCTTCAATCCCTGCATCTACAGAAAAGCAGATGAATTGTTGTCAGTGACACGTATGTATGATTATCGCGGCCAAAAAGCGCACCTCCTCTGTGAGTGTACCCATATCACCAGGTGTAGCAGCACCCCTCAACCTTGGGCTCGGTGGCATGCTGATGGTTGCCCGGTCCGCCGCACCAAAGTAACCGTTCTCCGTCACCTCGTCCCACTCTGCCTCAGTGCCGTCCCCATGATAGAACGCGTCCGGATACGCACGCCTCAAAGCGAGCTGACGTGCCTTGCTATACTCGACACCGAGATTCTTCCAGTCAAGTAACGGGCTGAGCCTCTCAACACGATTGCGTTGGTTGATGCGCTGTCGCCTCGTCTTGTTACAGAACGAGAACATGTCATTCGTGAGTTGAGTCACCGAGTCTTCAACACTCTGCATCCTCCTGTCGACGATGTAGCAGCCCTCGTCCTGCGGACGCTCGATGAGATCCTGCATGAAGCACCCGAAGCCAGAGAGGTTCGTAGTGATTGAAGGAATACCCATAACCGTGCATTCCGCTGGAGTGTAACCCCAGGGCTCATAGTAACTGGGGAATACGCCCAGATGACATCCGCGCACGAACTCTTCGTAGTCGAGCCCCAGAATCGGATTGTTCGAGTTGAGGAAGTCGGGGTGGAACACGATCTTTACTCGGTCGCTGGCGTCGTTGAAGAGCTTGACACGCCGGATCTGGTTCAGAATCGGGTCATTGGCGTCGTCAGCCATATTGTGTGTCGTTATAGGTGGGAGAGAGTTGCGCTTCAGGGCAAATATACGGCGTTTGAGGAGGATGAGATCTTCTGATGACAGAAGGGTCTCTGGGAGAGGAGCAGGCGCGTCCCTAAATATTCCTGGTCAGAAACGCGAGGATGGAGCGATTGAGAAATGTACCCATGAACACGGGCCGCATGGTCGAAGAGGCGTTCACCTATGCGCTGCTGAATCTCGGTGACAGCATCTCGAAGCTGTTTGGTGACCGCCTGGCCTTTGAGGGCCTCGATAGTGTACGAGTGAGTCGCGGCAGGCATAATGATGAACGCGACAACAGTGACAGTGGAGCCTGACTTTTGCAAGCGGTGGTTTAGGCGGGCAAGAGACTCAATGAACATGTCAACACCCTTGTTGCGGTATTCGTAGCGCCCAGCTGTGAACATCTGAAAAAGTTGTTATGTGAGCCATGAAACGGTGTGATGCGTTGGAATGCAAGGAAGAGGATGATTCAAAATTAGGTACAAGATATCGGCAAAAAGACATCAGCGGCCCGAGCAGGTCAAGGTCAAAGATGCGAAGGCACAGGAACGTAAGCAGGTAAGAGGATAGTTTCCGCCTGGGGTAGATGCAAAGACGTCATGAGTGCACAGAAGTCGAGCACGTGCGAAGTTTGGAGAAACCATTGGAGCGTGACGGAAAAAATCGGAGCAATGGTGGGAACGAGAAAGCTCTCGAGAGGAAGGAAAGGACGCACATAGAGGGTATTGTCAAGGTCAAAGTTGTAGTGACCGTAGAAATGGCCCCTGACGAACTCGTTGATCTTCTCCTTGCTCTTCGAGTGGAGATTCTGGAACTCATGCATTGCCTGGAACTTGACAACGTTGAGGCCGTTCGGGAGTACGCCATCTGGTTTCCGCTTGAGAAGGTGCTCAGACTCGTACGCGGTTATATGTGACACTGTGGTGAAGACATCGGCGCAGTGGGTGGCGGATCGCTCGATACAGTAGCGGTGGTAGATCCCGCGCTTGCCAGCTTCGTGGTCGACATCGAAGTACTGTAGATTGTTGTAGAAGTCGACAGATCCTGCGCATAAGTAACGACCAAGAAGGGTGGCGTGGGTCGTAAAGACTGTCGTAACGTCGATGTGGCGTTTACGACATAGGGGTATCGCGACGCCGGCCTGCCATTCATGGAAGTGGGCGACGACTGCAGTTGTAAGTTGGCGTGAGACATACTGTGAAAAGAGTCAGAAAGTATCGTATAGAAACGTAAATAGAGCGCACATCGCCGAGGAACCAAGCTACAAGGTAGCCAAAGACGATGGCCTCGTTCGTCTCGTGGTCGTTAGGCGGGCTTGGAATTCCAGCAAGATTCCACAGATCGCCCTTCCACTCGTCTAACCGCGAGTATTGCGAGCCCGTGTCGAACAAGAGGACGTGCGGATTTCCCTCGATGAGCCATCGGCCATAAAGGGCCTTAACTCCCTGCTGGCGCATGTTCTCGAGAGTGGCGGCAAGGTGAGGATCCGTTGGCTCTGTTGGCTCGACCTCCATGGGAGCGGTCTTGTACGACAGAGGGCCAATGAGGCAGTATCTGTCGCCAAATTCGGAGACGGTGACGGGGACCTTGGTCTTTATGACTGTGTAGATGCCGCCGACCTTGTTTGCGACCTCCCAGGCGCACTCGAATAGTAGGGGACGGGAAACATCGCGTGGTGGCGCAGACGGGTCAACAGTCTCGCTCGTCGCAGTGGTCGACATGGATGTTGGTGCACAAAAACAGTTCAATCTTAAAAGTTGAATGAAAACTGATCAAATCAGCATGACGTCATCCCCATCCGTGCCTACATCCCCAATTCAGACGCAACCCTTGGAAAATACACGTCTTGTACGCGCCCGACGCGGCGATAAGATAGCCAGGCAACGTTCCGGGACAAATTTTCAAAATCGAAATGCGTCAGCGAAGTGCCCATTGGTGTTGAGAAGCATAACGGCACCGTGTTTGCGCTGTTTGCAAGCCAATAGACTATATAGTAGATGCTCTGATGGCAATATTATGTATCTATCTCAAATGCTAACTACTCACTTACACATGGGAAGGAGAGCACTCGATAAGAGAAATGAATCGAAATTTTCCTGTTTTCCCACTTTTTCTCCTTGCGGGCAGATAATGCTGTGCCACGTAAGGCCGATATCGATGTCAGGCAAAGGTACACCGCACTTGGCGAGATGAATGAATTCTGGCGGAAGTTTGGAAGAAGCACTTTCCGAGGTTCATGATCACGGAGCAACAAGCTTAAGCACGGTCGGACTTTATAAACGGATGAATGGAAGAGCAAGTTGATGAGAGTAAGCCTTTTAACAAGCCATTGCCAGCTACAGAGTATATGGGACTTTTGGCCTTTGTAAATTACTCATATGTAACCTATGCTATCTCCATTCGACCAGCATAAAAAGTACGCAGTCATTGTCAAGACATGAGACTCGTCGCGTCAGGTGCGTCATGACCTTGGGAGAGAAAATCACGTGCTCGTGAGCTACGACGTTGAACCCATGTTTTTTTGTTTCGTCACCAATTGCAGCCTATACACCTTAGGATGAATATTTCAGGTTACATATGGCTTGCTGCAGCCTCATCCATCCTGATCTCTACCTAAATCCTTATTTCACTCGGGTCTAGCTTACGCACGATCTTTTAACGCTCGGCCACCAATTCAATTGAATTTGTGGGAACAGCTTCTTCACCTTCCTCAGTTGATATCT